CAAACGAGCCCCCTTACCCCCCGAATGCCGGCATGATAATTGGAGTCGAGTGTTGAAAACGGTAAACGGTCCATTCAAGTGCGCATGACAGTCAATATGTGATCAATGGATAGGGTATCGATTTTCTCGGATGTTTGATTGAAAATCCAAACAAAACGGATCCAACGCTTTTAGTCGCCAAATATTTTTTTTCTTCTCCCCCCCCCCTCCTCCTCCTCGCCCCACCCCCACCCCCCGTAGAAACCTGCTGACGTCACATGCCCCACCATCGAAGCAATGTTGAAGTGAGGAAACATATTTGTGAACATCTTGTGGTTGAAATAGGAGGGGAAAAAACAAAGAAAAAAATACTCAACTAATAGTTATAAGCAGTATAAAAGTATATCAATACAACAGAATAATGATACATCAGTATAACGTACAACAGTGTAATCAGGATAAAAGTATGACAGGTTATTAGTATAATAGAGTATAATGGCATGACAGTTAAAGATTAAAACAGTGTAACATGTCAAGAGGTGCTTATGGACCAAGCATACTTCCATGTAATTCAATCACTGACTTTTTTTAAATGCTTCTTGCTATTTAAATATTTTTTATTCTTCGCCCAGTATTGGTGGCAATGGATTGGTGTGCAAGGATTGGTGGGCAGGGATTAGAGGGAAGGATTGGTGTGCAAGGATTGGTGGGCAGGGATTAGAGGGAAGGATTGGTGTGCAAGGATTGGTGGGCAGGGATTAGAGCCTTCCTAACCACACGTTCCTAACCACCCGTCCCTAATCTTGGAAGGATTGGTGTGCAAGGATTGGTGGGCAGGGATTGTTGGGCAGGGATTGGTGTGCAAGGATTGGTGGGCAGGGATTAGAGGGAAGGATTGGTGTGCAAGGATTTGTGGGCAGGGATTGTTGGCCAGGGATTGGTGGCCAATTGCTACCATTGGGACTTTGAAGATGGCTCTTAACTTTTAATGATAATTCTATTGAGATATTACCACAAAAAAGTATATATATATAATGTATTGATATCTTTCACATTGGGTACGTTTATATGTTTAATATATTTTTGTATATGTGTGTTCACACCAGTTTCCTTCCCACCCCACCCTCGTTGTCCCCTTGGGGACCTCCCTGTGTCTCCCCGTACACAAATACAAAGTTGACCTGGTGCCACAAACATGAGGCTTCATTATGCTCATCTAATGAATGTGAGAATACATATAATAATTTTGACATAGTTAAGTCTTTGCAGGTACCAGTTAGTTACAAAACCCTAACACACCCCCCTCCCCCCAACCTTAAACCCCCTTTAAATTACGGTTCCAATAATACAGGAAAGAAACACAGAAATAAATTATGAGAAAAAAATTGACAGAATAGTCCTTACGATAATGTGTGGACATACGTTCATAAATATTTTAAAGGGAAGCAACGATAACACATATCCAACTTTTAATTTAATGAATTGCCTCCCTTATTAGAAATACTCATATTTTTAAAAAAAAATAAATAATTTTTTAATTATTATTTTTTATATTTTTTTAGTCTCCTCGTAATGCACCATACGGTCCCACTCAACAAGATCTAAGACGGTGTGTTTTAAGTTAGTTACATGAACTTTAAAGTTAAAACATCTGATAAAATTGTTTATTGTACGTCACCATTCTGAAGTACACTAGAATGTACATATCCTGCGCACCTTTTGTCGCAAGAGTGTGGCTGCGAGGACGATACCGAGTTGCTCCAAGAAAAAAAACATTTGATTTATTACTTGTTTGGTTTTTAATTTTGGAAGCAAACTACGGGTTTAAGAGACCAGTGCCTGGAATAAAAAATGAAAGAAAACAACAACTGAAACTCGGGACCAAATTTTTACATGATTATTTATTATGTATGCCAGGTACACGGAAGAGCCCAAAATAAAGAGTCATTAAATATTATTAATTTAGCCATAGTATTTAATAGTATTCAACAACAAAAACTTACACATTACTATTAATGTTATAATTTAGTAATGATGTATCTAGTGTTTAACTTATTATTGAGATATCGATGCATGCATGTGTACCGGGGAAAGCTTTAACTCCAGATAACGTATGTACTGGGTACTGCATCTATGAACCGTCTTTATTCAAAGCCTTTACAAACTGTTTATCAGGCAGGCCAAACTTTATTTTGTATTTGCACGAGTATGACGCTATTCTAGACGACCACCGCCCCCAGCCGTTGTTGTTGTCATGTAATGTCATGGTCCGGTCGTAGGACAATAAAAAAAAAAAAACTCTGCAGAATAAGCAACTACGGGATCATCGTATCGCCACTGCTTTTGTTTTACCCACGGGCTACACTGGCTTTGACACCAGTGAGTGTCGGGAAACAGACACCTTGGCACTGTCACGGGGGATATCAACATCGGACAGCTGCAGGGATGTTGTGACATGATCCAGCCACTATGGGACGAGCAGTTGTCGTGCGGTGGCGTGACCCATTGGATTGTTATCATAATCAAAATAGCTGATTTTTCATAGGTTGGTTGGTATCCCAGGAAGTGCCCCCCTCCCCAACCCCCTTTCCCCATTTCATTCGCCTTGCATTTTTAACCACGGGAAGAAATTTTTTTCCTACGTAGTTTAAATTAAACAACAAAAACAAGACCCAAAAAAAACAAAAAAACAGCAAACTAACAAAAAAAATTTTTTTTTACATTTAAAAAATCAAGATATTTTCGGCCATTATTTTTCGACACTACATGCGTTGAGTCTGTTAAAACTTTCCAGCACAGAGCCTCTTCAACTTTTGAACGTGTGCTTTGCCAGCGGTCAACTGATCTGACAACTTACGTTAGAGCTTCAAGGGGGTAACCGCCAACACTCGACAACCGCCTTGAAATCTGTAACACCTCCAGCATAAGTCATATGTCAGATGTCATATTGGCACCACGTGAGTGGTCAATAGATCTTTTTTTTTTATTCTGACCAAAATACTTTCTTTCCCTTCAGATTGGACATTTCAGGTTAAACGCAGATAATCTCGATTAAGTCAATGATTAATTTCGTCATTAATCTATACCAGCGGTTCTCAACCAGTGGGTCGCGAACCCTTTCGGGGTCGCGCGACCCTTTCACAGTGGTCGCCTAAGACCATCCGAAAGCACATATCCTTACAGCTATGACGTAGCAACGAAAATAATTGTGTGGCAGGGGGTCGCCACGACACGAGAAAATGTATTATAGAGTCGCGGCATTAGGAAGGTTGAGAACTACTGATCTATAACGTGTTAAGAGCTCATCAGTAACAAGAGGATAGATACAATTCTCTTCTCGGGAAAGGTCTCCTTTATTCAAGTGTGGCCAGGCATTTCAATACTAGAACTGATGCTTCGTTAGTGACTCTAATTATTAAAAAAATCAAACACAAAAAAAAACCAACTTTATTTCGACGCAATGTTTACATCTTTTTCTGATTGGGCTGCTTAAATGACTTAAATAAAGTGTTTAAATTGCTTAAATAAAATGTTAAAATTGCTTAAATAAAATGTTTAAATTGCTTAAATAAAATGTTTAAATTACTTAAATAAAATGTTTAAATTACTTAAATAAAATGGTTTAAATTAATTAAATGAAATGTTTAAATTAATTAAATGAAAGGTTTAAATTGCTTAAATGAATGGTTTAAATTAATTAAATGAAAGGTTTAAATTGCTTAAATGATTGGTTTAAAATACTTAAATGAAAGGTTTAAATTACTTAAATTAAAAGACTCCTCAAATCTCATTTACGCTTGAAACTTTTTTTAAAAAAAAAATTGTAATTTGTAAATAAAAATATATGGAGCCGAGACATGGAGAACAACGGCCGTAAACCTGACCAGAATCCAGTCCTTCATCAACAAATGTCTAAGAAGGATTCTCAGAATTCACTGGCCAGACAAAATCAGCAACCAGGAACTGTGGCAGCGGACTAAACAGAAACCCATTGAGGAAGAGATTCTCCAGAAGCGGTGGAGGTGGATTGGTCATACACTAAGAAAACCTGCTTCTAACATAACAAAGCAAGCCCTGAAATGGAACCCACAGGGTAAGCGGAAAAGAGGCCGTCCAAGAAACACTTGGCGCCGAGAATTGGAGACAGACATCAAGAAAATTGGCCATGAATGGAAGATCCTGGAGAAGCTGGCCCAGGATAGAGATGCCTGGAGGTCTCTCGTAGGTGGCCTATGCCCTTGGAGGAACCGCAGACGCCGACGATGATCGGTGGATGCCCCTCATGGACGAGAAGGCTCAACAACAAATAAAAATAAATATTTGACACGGTTGGCGTAAGAAGGGGGTGCCGCGGTCGCGGGTCTGGCACTTTTTTTCTTCTTTCACTGACGAGATTTTTTCTTTGCTTTTTGTTTTTGCTTTTGTGGTGAAAGTGTGGCGCCAAAATTCTCGAGCCTCCTCTGGCGGAACTAACCCTCGCACTGAGCCATTGTTTGACAAGCCTCCCAGATTATTTACATTCATCACCTCCCATGACGAGGTGGTTATGTCTCCGGTCCTTTTGACTAGCGAGTCACACACACACACACACACACACACACACACACAAACACACACACACACACGCACGCACGCACGCACACACAATCACACACGCAATCACACACACACACAATACAGCGTTGCAAACTTTTGTTTTAATAAACTAGAACATCATCTCTTGTGGGATTGCGTGGACATATTCTGGGACCAGCGTTGTGAGAGTTAAAGGTTTCAGGTGCTGAAATAATTAAAGGCAAGCTCTGAGGTGCAACGTTAAGTTAGAGATGATAGTATGACTTTCTATTGTCAGATGCATCTATTGTGTGTATAATGTTTGTTGTTTTTTTTCAAAAAGAAGCTTACGTAAAATGTGAAAAGAGAACATACTTTTATGCCACAAACATTGATATTTACATACGTTTTTTACATATCATCATCACTCGACAGTCCCTGCTTGTGAGATGCATCGGCTGTTTCAGGTCTGGTGGCTGGGCGTCGTCCTGGCTGTACTACCTCTGTGCGACACCTGCTGGAGACCCATGTAAGTTGATTGTGGGGACGCATGCAAGTTGATTGGAGACCCTTGTAAGTAGATTGGAGACCCTTGTAAGTTGATTGTTTGGGACTCATGCAAGTTGAATGGAGACCCTTGTAAGTTGATTGGAGACCCATGTAAGTTGATTGGAGACCCCTGTAAGTTGATTGGAGACCCTTGTAAGTTGATTGTTTGGGACTCATGCAAGTTGAATGGAGACCCTTGTAAGTTGATTGGAGACCCATGTAAGTTGATTGGAGACCCCTGTAAGTTGATTGGAGACCCTTGTAAGTTGATTGGAGACCCATGTAAGTTGATTGGAGACCCTTGTAAGTTGATTGGAGACCCTTGTAAGTTGATTGGAGACCCTTGTAAGTTGATTGGAGACCCTTGTAAGTTGATTGGAGACCCTTGTAAGTTGATTGGAGACCCTTGTAAGTTGATTGGATACGTTTTAAATTGATTGTTGGAGACCTGTGTAAGTTTTTTGTTGGAGAACTATATACAGTGATTGTTTGAGGCAAATGTAAGCTGATTCTTTGAGGCCTATATGCAATTTGATTTTCGGAGACCTACGTAAGTTGATTGTTTGGAGACATATACTATGTAATTTGAATGTCGGAGACCCGTGTAAGTTTTTGTTGTTGAATACTCACGTAAGTCGGTTGTTGGAGAATCATGTGATTTGATTGTAGGAGACCAATGTAAATTGACTGTACGAGACCTGCCAAGTTGATAGTCGGAGACCCATTCAAGTTGACTTTGTCATTCATTTGTAAGATGCCTGTTGGATATATATATATATATTGTAAGTTGACTGGTAACGTGTAGTGTAAATGTATCATAATGCTTCGTTTCGACGTAATTGATGGAGAACAAAGGAATACAAAGTTAATGATGTACATCAGGCCTGCACAGAGGCGTAGCGAGGGTGTTTGGCGCCCGGGGACAAGATTCGCGCCCGGGGACAAGATCCATTTTAAAGCGCCCCTTTTTTCTTTTTTTCAACTCTCAAACCCATTATTTTTACCAATAATATAATATCAAAGCACATTTTAGCGCCCCTGACTAGCTTGCGCCTGGGGACATCTGTCCCCTCCTGCCACCCCTCGCTACGTTTCTGGGCATGCACAACTCAAAATGTAAGGCGAGCCGTAATACTTTCTATCAAATTTTTACCGCCCTCTTCCCCAACCCCAGCCCCTAAAACTCAGTTTTTCCTCGTTTTTCGAAGGGAAAATCGAGGAAAATAACTGCGCTAATTGAGATTCTTAAAAAAAAAAAAAATAATAAAAAAATCGCCAAGTGCGTTTGGGTCGTAATATTGTCTTTTGTTTTTCTGAAATAGTTGCTGAAATAAATCTGCCGTGTGATATGAGAAGATTAATGTAGTTCAGGGGCGTGAAAAAATGTGACGTTACGAGCCTTCGGAGCGGGGAGATGGGGAGCTCGAATTGGGATTCTTATAAAGTGCGTTTCTTGCATGCATGTTTTGTCAAATTTTCAGCCCCACCTCCATTGCTCTATATTACATTCTACAAAGGGATTTATGAGAAAAATGTTGTTTTTAGTGGTTGTTATTCTTTTTCTTTTTTTATAATATTTTTTTAAAATTTGAAAATTAAAATTAAGACAAGAAATTGAATGCAAATTTTTTTTTTAAAAAGCCATTTTGTGACATTTTGATATTAGAAAGAGCCTTGACATCATACGACGGTGATATTTTGAAAGACATGTTAAAGGGGCGACCGTCATAATTAGGTATGGTTGAGTGCCAAACATCTAGCAACACATTCGATGTCTCACACAAACCTATTATTCCTTTACCTCTACGTGGCGATGACAAAGGGTCGCGCGGGTTCTGACGGTGTGGGTTCTGACGGTAAGGGTTCTGACAGTGTGGGTTCTGACGGTAAGGGTTCTGACAGTTTGGGTTCTGTCGGTAAGGGTTCTGACAGTGTGGGTTCTGACAGTGTGGGTTCTGACAGTGTGGGTTCTGACGGTAAGGGTTCTGACAGTGTGGGTTCTGACGGTGTAGGTTCTGACGGTGTGGGTCAAATGTCTTGCATCCACAGTCAATGATTACTTAATAACAAAACAAACAAAAAACACACCAAAAAAGAAAACCTATCGTTTCTTTTACAGCCAGGTGGCGATGACCAAAGGCTCGTGTGGTGTCTGCGGGGACAATATCCAGGTGAGCTTCACGGTAAGGAACAAGCTCCAGGTGCCCTACTTTGAAAGCAGGCACACGGTCAGCGACCTGCCGCAGAGGGAGCTCATTCACTTTCTCGAGAGGGCCGCGGAGAGCAACTCACAGTTCAGGTGTGTGCATGACGAGCTAACCAGACGTCAGGGGTGCAGATTGAATCACGTGCAGCGTTGTGTGTGCATGTATGTGCGTGTATAAGCGTCTTTTTACGTGTATGTGCGAGTATGAGCGTTTATGTTCGAGTATGTGCGTGTATATGTGTGCGTGAGTGTGTATGTGTAACGCTAAGAGGTTGAATATGGTACAAATGATCTAAAATGATACATTTATTATATTTAGAGATAGCCGCATGAGAAAAATCTGAGAATTTGCGTATTATTCTAATTTATTTTATTTAACTGTCTTGTAAAAGTGATCAAATTCATGGGTAGCTCATCGATATCTAGTTAATAAAAGATTATGAAGAACTAATAACTAAGAACAAATAACTATGAACAAATAACTAATATTTTCAATAAATTGTCAATGCATAACAAATAAACTATTTTTTTTAAATGATACAAGAATATGAAGAACTAATATTTTTTTAAACAAATAGTTTGTTATGCATTGATAATTTATTGAAAATAATGCTTTTATTTTACAAATAACTTTTTGAATCATGGACTATGAGTTTGCTGGTAGAATTTGATACTTATCCGCTCCGCTAGCAGGATCTTAATTTCCTTATAAGCCAATCTTTGTCACTACAAAAAACAAAACCTGGCACAATATATTATGGAGCATGATTGGTCGCTCCGTGTGATACACGAGCAAGTAAAGGAGTGGCGTAGGAAGGAGTCAAACGAGTCGGTCCACCCCAGGCGTTATTTTTTTTCTTCTTTCTTTATATGAAGGGGCGGCATTTTCTGCCTACTGCAAGATTTGTATTGTGGGAAGGGGGTGTGGGTAATTCCCCCCCCCCCCTTTTTCAGTCCTCCGGTAGGTAGCACCAACTCTTGTTACGTGACATCTCCTGGCGTTACGAGCCATGCAATAATCCGTTCAGTTTGTCAATTACAGCTTCACCGTCGACTACCACCAGGGAATGGGATACTTCATAACCAGGATGAACGGCCTGGCTGCCTCCGCACCCAAAAAGACTTTCTGGAAGATGATCTCCTCCTCCAGTGGAGAAATGCTTCCTCTGGGTGAGTTGTAGGTAGACCATCAACCATATGGATTTGTATCATTTTTTTTTTACATTTTTTTTTATTGTATGTAGAATCGATAGCAAAGCTGGTTCAGCATATCAACATGCTGTCTTCAGAGGATTCATGTCATCGTAGTCTTGTTGCAGTGTTATTGCAGCTCTTCAAAAATCGCATGCTTTGTAAAACAAAACAAAAAGAAATAGCTCCATTCCAGTGTCGCTCCCTTAAGTTTGTTATCGGTAATAAAAAAAAAAAAGAAAAGAATATGACATTGCCATTCAGGGGCGAATGAAAAAAAAAAAAAAGGGGGGGGTTTATTTTCGGCCAACTGAAGAGTTTTAAATTGTGGAGACGGGGTGGGGGGGGGGCGAATATCTTGGGTCTTCCGCCCCACGTTGGTAGCTGCCCAAGGTACGCCCCTGTTGCCATTTCATGGGTAAACTGGAGTGTGGGGTGTGTGATTGACCGAGGAATCAACGTTTGGAAACGATATAAATATCCAATTTGAAAACCAAACAAAAAACTCTATGTATTGTATTTATTTCATCCTCTTCCCCAAACCAACCTTCAGAATAACAATAAACACTCCCCCCACGCTTGCATGAAAAATAATTTTGCACAAAAAGCAGAACATGTAAATTGCAGTGTCCGGCAAGGAAGGGTGGGGTGGGGGAGGGGGGGGGGTGTTCGTTGTTGCTCCTTTAAAAATTTAAGTGCGGAGCAGGGGGGGCTTCGTTTTTATATTTAAAAAAAATAAATATTTAAATGGCGCATTTGCTTTATAAGTATTTCACAACATTTTTTAAAAATGGCTCTGGGGGGGGAGGGAGGGGGGGGGGGGGGAGGGGGGGGGGTGTTCGTTGTTGCTCCTTTAAAAATTTAAGTGCGGAGCAGGGGGGTCTTCGTTTTTATATTTAAAAAAAATAAATATTTAAATGACGCATTTGCTTTATCAGTATTTCACAACATTTTTTAAAAATTGCTCCGTTTTGTTAAGTCTCAATTCCTTTGCGCACTGTCCAGGCAATTATAGCACAAACTATAAAAGTAACAATGCTTTGCACCAGGGATGGCCAACTCGCTGCCCGCGGACCGCAAGTGGCGCGCAGAGTAAAAACCCCCCCCCCCCCCAAACCAACCGGATGATCACAAGTAAACGCATTGCTTCATTTATTTAGCGATTATTTTTCATTATTGACAAAAAAAGCAAACTTTGAATTATAACCACCTTGTCGTTGTACCGGTCCCTCTCATGGACTGATTTTTAAAAAAAAAATGAGTTTCAAAGTATTAGAAATCTCAAATCCTACTTAAAAATTATTTTAAAAAAATTTCAACTGTTGTTCGTCCTTCCCATATTACATGGTGATAACGCAAGTTGCCTGCCAGTTCTATTTGTGCCTAGAAAGCTTTCCCGCACGTGGGGCACACGCTGTTTTGGGTCCTAGTAGGATTTGGGCCAATTTTGCTTTTTCTTGCCGTGCGCTTTCTTCGGACGTGAGCGGTCCGCTTATTCTCTGAGGATTTGTGCTCCGGCAGTGAGTCTGTTGCGTCAGTTTGCACGATCGGTATCAAGTGTCTCCCATAAATCAAGGTCAATGATCATAAATTTAAGCGATATTTTTAAACAGGCCTTGAATCTATTTTTTTTTTTCAACTGAGCGTTTCCCACTGGAGAGTTCACCGAACATTTAATCGCTTTGGGAAGTCTGATCATCTTGCATTCTTGTGACATGCCCCGCCCCCAATGGCTTTTTAGTGGCTGGTAACATAAAAGGATTTATTTAAACACTGGCTACGCAAAGGAAACCCACATTTCTTCGTAGGTTTCCTCTGTTGTTTACGTCTAGAATGATGCAAAACTCGTTTCAGGTAGGCGCCGAAATGCATTTGGATTCATTTAACCCATAGAATTTATTTATGTTCGAGGCGGCGCGAGTAGATTTGTTATCGCCTGGGAACTCATGTGCTGTGAGAGTAAATAAATAATTATGGTCATCGTATACTTGGTCATTATTTTCTTTATCAGGTCCAACGACACCCATCCCGGGAAGAGATGACTCGCGATGAAAGCGGCCCGTTAAGCCTTTTGGGTTGGCACTCGCGACACAATAACACAAAATAATTAATTAAATAGAAGCTGTTTTTTCAAAGAATACTGCAGATCGAATAAGATAAGACTCGTGGCATGTTGCAAAAAGTGGAATGATTGATTAAGATGGGGTAAAAGAAACAATATACATCTATAGGTAACTTAAAACGTAATTGTCAACGGCTACTTTGTTCCTAGAGCCTTTTCCTCACGCCAGTCCGATTTATATGAAAAAAAAAATCGTAATGGGATGAATGATTTTTTCTCATTTTTTTTCTCCAATCAACGCTTTTTCCAAAATTATATTTAACCCCACATGAGGACATGAGCTTTTTGTTTACTTCAGCCACCTAAGCGTTTGACAGTTTTTATCCGTAGAAATGTAAAAAAAAGGCTGAAACAGTGGGGTGGCTAGGGTTAGTGTCACACGAAGATTACAACACCCCCGTTCCATGAAATAAACTCTGAAGTTGGCCGAAATCTCCACCCCTCTACACACAATTAAAAAGAAAAACTTTAAAAAACTGCCATCAAGGGCACCCCCACCCCACCACACGCTGAAAATGTTTGTTAATTTCTCGCTATTTTCCAACATGCAGGTGTGTCCCAATATATTCCTAAGAACAAGGAGTCGATTACCTTTGATTTCACCTCATGGGCTGCACCGGCTCCCACTCTCGCCAACACTAGCGCTCACTGAGCGGGCAGTATCGAATACCCTACCACCGCCAAGAAAGTGAATGACTGAGGTTAAAGATTTGTATAAGAATTGGGTAATTTTTATATTTACATCCATATATCGCAGTTCTGTACGGATCATTATGTGAGTCATCCTCTTAAAACAGTACGCAAGTTTAGATTTACATCTTCAAATGACGGGTTGTCTATATTGTAATAGAAGTTGTTGTTTTTTCAGTTGGGGTAGGGGGGTAGTTGGAATGAGGGAGGTGACTATTTCCACATCACCAGATCAACTTTGTAAGTAAGCCTTTGTCTATAGTATAGTAAATCCCTGGATATTCTGGTCCATTATTATTGTGGACCTCATTTTTCACAGTGTCAACATTTATATTCTCTCGCTTCCTGTGTTGGCACTTCCGGGCGACAACAATGTATATTTCTTGAGTGGTCTACTGTGCTCTGTTTTTGGGGATTTCTCCATTTGTCCTGTGTACTGAAGAAGGCTCTATGCCGAAACGTCCTAATCTTTTTGTCCTGTTCTCTAATTGAAGTTTCCACATACCTCGTTTTGCTATTACAATGATGTACATTGTCACGTAATGTGAGTACTTGTACAATGTTGCACATTGTCACGTAATGTGAGAGCTTGTACAATGTTGTACATTGGCATGTAATGTGAGAGCTGTACAATGTTTTATATTGTCACGTAATGTGAGTACTTGTACAATGTTGTACATTGTCACGTAATATGAGAGCTTGTATAATGTTGTACATTGTCAAGTAATGTGAGAGCTGTACAATGTTGTACATTGTCATGTAATGTGAGTACTTGTACAATATTGTACATTGTCACGTAATGTTAGAGCCTGTACAATGTTGCACATTGTGACGAAATATGAGAGCTTGTACAATGTTGTTTATTATGACGAAATGTGGGAGCTTTTACAATGTTGTATATTGTCACGAAATATGAGAGCTTGTACAATGTTGTATATTGTCACGTAATGTGAGAGCTTGTACAATGTTGTACATTGTCACTTAATATGAGAGCTTGTACAATGTTGCACATTGTGACGTAATATAAGAGCTTGTACAATTTTGTTTATTGTGACGTAATGTGAGAGCTTGTGCAATGTTGTATATTGTAATGTAATGTTAGAGCTTGTACAATGATGTACATTGTCACGTAATGTGAGAGCTTGTACAATGTTGTATATTGTCACGCAATGTGAGAACTTGTACAATGTTGTACATTGTCACGTAATGTAAGTACTTGTACAATGTTGTATATTGTCACGTAATGGGAGTACGTGTACAATATTGTACATTGCCACGTAATATGAGAGCTTGTATAATATTGTATATTGTCAAGTAATGTGAGAGCTTGTACAATGGTGTACATTGTCACGTAATGTTAGAGCTTGTACAATGTTGCACATTGTGACGTAATATGAGAGCTTGTACAATGTTGTATATTGTCACGTAATGGAAGCTATTAAAAACTCTTTTTTTAAAAACAACTAAATCATTTTATGTTAATTTTTCTGTTTGACTAATATTGTTGAAGAGTTTGAATATTCTATTTTACTAAATTAAATTCGTCTAACATTGCACGTACACACACATAGAGAAAGAGAGAGAGAGAGAGAGAGAGAGAGAGAGAGAGAGAGAGAAAGAGAGAGAGAAAGCTAGAGAGAAAGCTAGAGAGAAAGAAACCAGAAGAGAGAGAGAAAGGGAGACAGAAAAAGAGATAGCGAAAGAGAGAGTGAGGGGAGATGGTGAAATAGAAAGAGAGTGAAAGAAATAGATAGAGAAATAGGGGTGAGAGAGAGAGAGAGAGAGAGAGAGAGAGAGAGAGAGAGAGAGAGAGAGAGAGAGAGAGAGGCACACATGACATTACCATTGGTGCCCATTGTCAGAAGCTTCAAAACTTAAAATTGAATAGTGCTGTATCAAGACACTTCTGTAAAACAGGCTACTCCATAGATGTCAATGAAGTAAGGTAACAAACAGAGCTTGGAACTCAGCGTTACCATAATTTCCCGCCCGATGTACTCTACACCTTAATAAAAAAAAAAAAGCAAACACACTTGCTAAGTTTTTTAAACGTTTTTTAAAAGAATTGGGCAATTTATAATCAAACATAGTTCTGGTTTCCACAATTGTGTGTGTGTGTGTTAAATTTTTAAACAGACTATCAATGCGTGAAAGCTGCCGGGTCAAGGTAGTCAGTAACCATTCTTTTCAGCGTGGTCTATTGTTGACCGTTGTTGGTCCTGATGGAAATGATGGTCTCGGGAAAACGAAAAACTAACACACATACACACACACACAAACTTCGACCATCAGAAAAACGTTTCGAATCGATTGCATGATTTGAGAAACAATGATATCCACCAATCTTCTCCTTTTTAAAAAAAAAAAAAATTAAAGACAAACTGGATACGATTGTATCAGAAATGTTATTTTGAACAGTTTTCAGACAAAAAATATTTTTTTTTACCCGTTATCTGAAAACGGTTCAAAATAGCATTTTTGATACAATGGTCTCCAGGTTTTTTTTTTTTTTTTTAATCAAATTAAACAAACAAAAAAAAAAAAAAAAAAAAAAAAAAAAAAAAAAAAAAAAAAAAAAAAAAAAAAAAAAAAAAAAAAAAAAAAAAAAAAAAAGCCATACAGCTGTCTCCTTACATCGAGATGTTTTTAAAAGAAACAACAACACGCAGCTGTCTCCTTACATCGAGATGTGTTTTTAAAAGAAACAACAACACGCAGCTGTCTCCTTACATCGAGATGTGTTTTTAAAAGAAACAACAACACACAGCTGTCTCCTTACATCGAGATGTTTTTAAAAGAAACAACAACACGCAACTGTCTCCTTACATCGAGATGTTTTTAAAAGAAACAACAACACGCAGCTGTCTCCTTACACCGAGATGTTTTTAAAAGTACAACAACACGCAGCTGTCTCCTTACATCGAGATGTTTTTTTAAAAGAAACAACAACACGCAGCTGTCTCCTTACATCGAGATGTGTTTTTAAAAGAAACAACAACACACAGCTGTCTCCTTACATCGAGATGTTTTTAAAAGAAACAACAACACGCAGCTGTCTCCTTACATCGAGATGTTTTTAAAAGAAACAACAACACGCAGCTGTCTCCTTACACCGAGATGTTTTTAAAAGAAACAACAACACGCAGCTGTCTCCTTACACCGAGATGTTTTTAAAAGAAGCAACAACACGCAGCTGTCTCCTTACATGATGTTTTTAAAAGAAACAACACAAAGCAACAGCAAACGAGGGCCATTGAATTGTCTTTCGTCGTGTAATTTCGCTTAAACCAACCGTTCACCAATTGTCTTGTGGGTCCCAGCCGCCATTGGGATACTATAAGAAACAAATATTAGAAGTGGCTATTCGGACCCGGGTCCGAGAAGTTGGAGGTTGTGATTAAAATTATATATATATATATATATATATATATATTATTGTTAGGCTGTAAGACAAATTTGGTAATTAACTTAATTCTTCAGTTTAACTAAAATTAACTACCACAAATGACATCCGAATAGCATTGAGTCTAAAGGGACCCGGGTCCGAATAGCGGCGCATCGTTTCCGGTTCCATTTTGACTATATGCTATTCGGATGTCATTTTTGGTCGTTTATTTTAGTTAAACTTAAACTGTTATGGGGGAGTGGGGTGCGCTTTGCTAATTTTTAAGGGGCTGTGCCTTTAAAAAAAAAAAAAAAATATTTCCTCTGAACCGATCGACCTCACGAGATTCCATTCCTACTCAAGTCACACAACGATGGAGACTTATAAATCTTCAGTTCACCTCGTTTGGGAGTCACTGGACCGTAACAGAAATCTTTAGTATGATCTAAATCTCGGGGCACCGATGTATACAATTTTTTAATATTTTTTTTAAGATAACCATCGCGTACGGGTGGGCCCCCAGGATCCACCCACGCCACGATCTCTCCTTCCTCTCACATAACAAACCATTGCCCCCATCATCGTACCCTTTCGACATCATGGCGTCCAATAACTAAACTACTCAACTTCATCAGTTTTTAACAAGCCCATAGTTCAAACCTCCTCCACACTTAAAACACTGTCCCGACTTCAACACGGCTTCTTCCATTTGTTGCATCTTGTAATGTAAGCAGTGCTTTCTTTCCGTTACTACAACCTCTTCAACACGTACTGATGTAGCAGATGACACCCGGATAAACGGATTGCACTTATTTGACGTGCTCATTACTTTATATCCGGCTTTATTAAATACCGTGTATTAGCATTATTTTTTTTAAAAAAAAGTATACGTTTTCAATGAGCTCGGACGCTTTAACCTCGCGCGTAAGATACTGATCTTACCTCGAGCGCCTCTCCATGTGGTGGATTTAGGGAGGAGGGGGGGGGTTGAAGGCCACACGATATAACGGGGGAAACAGAATATCCCTGGCGGACCAAAGATCAGGAACTAATGCCTATTAGGAATTGAGGGGATCTTTGAAGGCAAGGGAACCTTACCCGAAATATAAGGCAGCTAACCTGAGTAAAGGGCAGCCCCCAACCCCAGATGGTTGTGCACAAGGTTAACAAACCGACCATGTAAAAAAACCAAAATCAACAACAACGTTATGAAATCCAAATAACAAAATAAAACCCTGACTGACTCTAATGTAAATCGACCCATGCCTGGATATGGACACATTTTTTGGGGATTGCGACTTGGATCGTACTAAGCCCTAAGCCTGTTTAGAGCAGACGCCTTAACCAACCTAATAGATCTACTAATTAAACAAACAATCTCCATATCTGCATTGTAAAAATTCGATGGCGAAATGCAGACATCAAGACTACACCATATTTTAAAGTTGCAACAACACTAACACTCTTGTCACAGGATTTATAGTGAGGAAAAAAGCCGTCGGTGGATTCACAGGTTTTAATGAAAGCTTGTGCTTTTTGCCTGTGCGAGGCTCCTAGAAGCGCGAGGCTCCTAGAAGCACGAGGCCCCCCTAGAAACGCGAGGCTCCCTAGAAGCGTGAGGCCCTGGGCAACTATACTCCTCTTTGAGGCATTTTGAGTGGCACACCTGGCATCATGTCACGGCACACCTGGCATCACATCGTGGCACACCTGGCATCACATCGCGGCACTCCTGGCATCATATCGTGGCACACCTGACATCTTATCGCGGCACACCTGGCATCACATCGTGGCACACCTGGCATCATATCGTGGCACACCTGCCATCTTATCGCGGCACGCCTGGCATCACATCGTGGCACACCTGGCGTCATATCGTGGTACACCGGTTTTCAACTCTCTTCTCTAGTGCGTTTCCTTTATAAAATGTGGACTGGTAAAATGACATCTATCGGCCAATGAGGATCTCTGCCCGGGAGGTGTATACTTAGGAGTTCATGTAAGAAACGCAATCGCCTGTGGCTGTATATATGTTTGACCTAGATGTTTGTACATGTATATATAGAGACCTTTGCGCAAAAGCATTGGTTGTATATGCTATGATATCGACAAGTCAAAACGTCCAGAAACAACTGTGTTTGGTGGGTAATATCGACTCAGGTTCGTTAAACTTTGTTTCTGCCGACTAGTCTAGATTTTAAAATAAATTGCTCATTATTTCTAAATAGCTTAATTTACATAAAACTCAAATCTCTATTGATATAATGATACATCTTTTATACGTAAACAATTGCTAGCTATGAAGGAATTAATATCTTAATGGTAAAAAAAAAATGTTTCTATTTGTGATATCAATTTTAGAAATTTAGAAGGATCATTTTTCCCCCCGAGTGTGTTATTCGTTTGGCGACACTTGAGTGAAGGAATCAACAGGAGAAAGCAGAATGAACCAAGGACGTTTCTCTCTGAGTTTCGTATGTGTGTTTGCGGTGATGTTTTCAATGGTAGATGTAACCAGGTACGTTGTGTGTATGTGTGTGTTCATGCAAAATACAACTTTGGGTGCCCTTTGCTTATATACTATAATTACAGCGCCAAATAGAGCATATTTGGTATCGCTCGAAAGCTTGGCCTATGTATTTTTTTTTTTTTTAGTTGTATGGCCCACTAAAACGCTTTCGCTGAAGCACGCGATCTTGTTGGTTGACATTGAAATTTTTCGTTGACCTGCAAGTATCATTTATCGGCTAATTTTATATTTTACCCATATTAACTACATTTAGTATAATAATACATCAGGCCTGCTTTATAATTATTATACGAAACAGTGATACATGCACACTTGTACTGTGTTTGTTGGATTATGATTTAAATTAAAGGCTATTTCATGCCTAATTCAAATGAATTGTTGCCCTCTTGGATACAACTTCTCAGCTAAGTGCTATTTTTAAATTTTATTCTGTTTTTTTCTGTTTGTACGCTGAAGAAGGCTTCCTGCCGACACGTTCGTTGTTTTGTTGCGTTCCTTTTTTTTAAGGTTTAACCTTACTTTGTTTTACTAAT